CACACACACACACACACACACACACACACACACACACACACACACACACACACACACACACACACACACTTTTACCACAAGACTGTGAACCCTCCTCTGAGTCAGCTCTGTAAATAAGATTCAGGAAGCCGGCCGTCTTCTCACACAAACACTCTTCGTCTTTGAACAAATCGTTTTGGTCCAAATTACTGCACAACTTACAAAACATGGGCTTCTGTCTGAAAATAACACAAATAGAAAGCCTAAAACACTCTTACCATTTTAGGAAATCACTCAAATTCAGTGAAAACAATCGAAATTTGAAAAGCAAATTGCTGATAAAATGTTATAAATCAGAAATCCTACTGAACACAGAAGGAATGTTTTATATTTCAAAATGATGAAAATAAAACTGCTTATTACTGGATGTTGACTGTGTGCGCATGTTTTTAATTCCTAGTAGGGTTGATTTTTGAAATTAACCATTAAAATCTATGATGCTGACATTTGTAAAAAAAAAGAAATAATTCAGATGTCTATTTTTTTTTAATCACACAGATGTAACTGTGGGCGATCTCCTGCAGCCAAACTGTTCAAACAATCAGCAGATAATCTCTGAGCACTATAAATACCGAAACAGAGCAGGAATCCGAGGAAAAAACACAACATACTAGTTCTTGTTTATTTATTTATTTATTTATTTTTGTCCAGCTGTAAGCCTATTTCAATGAAAAACTCTAAAAGAGGCATCTTGTGCTTCTAAATGTAGCTGCTCTGACAAAATCCAGCTTCGACCAATAAAACGTCTGCGTTTTATCGGAGACTCATGGAAATACACAGCAGCCTGTCTGACCWGTTCAAATACACCAAACCAAGTTAGGAGAACACACACCTGGTATTAATCTGTTTCATACATCCATGTGTGTCTGATAAAGGAGACAGTTTAAAGGCAGAATTCAGAACGGAGGTTGAAGCTCAGCACTAGGATCCATCAGGGTTAGAAGGGCTGCACGCTCAGGATGGCATTTTCAGTAAGGATGTAACGATTCATCTCCTACATCTATGTATCAATTTATATTCTTCTGTTCAAACTACATCCATCTGTGCTCAGCAGGTTGGCCTTCCAGACTATATGTATCGATCCAACATCATTTTAAAAGGTAATCAATTGATTGTATCAATAAAGGAAATAACACGCAGCACAACATACAAATAAGAGACTCTTTTCTGTGTTTTATATCCAGTTGTGAATAAATCTCAGATTATTTCAGATGAATAGGTATGTGTGAAACAGATGTGTACTGTAGAGAAAATCTGTTTCAGTGTAGAAAGTTAACTTTCTCAGTAATGGAGACATGTTCAGATGCAGCAGCCTCTTCCTTTACAGGTGTGTAGTGATGTTTGTACCTGAGGTTCAGGGACGTGAGTGACTGCAGGCTGATGATGCTGTCTGGGATGGTCCTGATGCAGTTGTGATAGAGGTTTAGTGTCTCCAAGGCAACCAGGTGGCAGACCTCTGAGGGGACGTCTGTGAGTCGGTTCTTTGAAAGATCTGCAGAAAAAAAGAACAGAAGTAACTAAATTTAGAACCGATCAGGAGCAGATGTTTTAAATAAAATATTCTTTTTTTTATTCTGACTCTCTTCCCTACTCTCACTACAGCAGTCTGATCTGCAAACATCGGAACCCAAGGGATTCAACATGTCCGCAGGAACCACGAAAGATGATATGTTACCTTATATCCCGTTTAATCATTATATCATTATTTTGGATTTTGCTGCTGTAACAGCCTATAAAATCATGTAAACTTTACAAAGACATTAGTCAGTATGTTCACATAGTTTAAAGAGCTTCTTGCTAGCATGTATAATGAGCATTTGCAGTATAAATATTCCTCCATATGCAGTACCAGTTGTCTATTTAAAGTACTTTTCTTTCGACAGTGCACTGATTTCTCAGTATGATCTGGATTATATGTAGCATGTAAACAATCTAACACTGGACTCACACCCTTTTATCGCCAGATAAATGACTTCTGTATGAGTCTACAGCTGGCAGTGATGATAGGAACCATGTGAGTCWGTAAATGTGACTATTGCTCTCTTTAACAACAAGCAGCTGTCAGACCTACAGAGCATCATTTAGTCAGACTGCTGGATGTCTTTGTTCTGACATCTACAGTAACTAAATAAATACAATCCTCCTTCTGATTAACAAAGATCAGAGTGCATACGATGAAGAAGACGGTTTTTGCAGTCAGTTGTAAAATGACAAACTGGGCTGCAGGCAGCTCATATCAGCCTCTAATTAACAGTCATTTCATGGCTCGCTTGATGACTGAAGAACAGAAATAAACTGGGCTGTTTATAGAACTGCAGTTTGAGCTCTGCACATGATGTCATAGGAAAAAGAAGAAACTAGCCTCACTACTTTTTTAATGATTATTTAAAAATAAATACGACAGAAGTATGTGAGCAGATTTGACATAGAATTACAAAAATACTCCGTCTTCCAACACCAAGAGTACAAACTATGTTTCATTTTTTTATTTATATTCACAACCAAAACAGAGACCAAAATGTCAAAGTCTTTCCAAACATTTCCCAATTATTCTGCAAGGCAGGATGTTCCAGCAAATTCACCTTAAGSTCAGACTATTTGCAGTGGTCATTGTAATTAAAAAAATATAAATGGTAACGAGACGCTGCAGGCCTGAGATTAGATTTTTTTTATATTAAATCAATAATAAACGGAAGCAGAATGAGTTGTTTGAAAAAACTAGATGGTTTTTTTGTTAAAAAATAGATTGACAGCAGACATTAGCTTTACAAAGTTGTATCTGAATTACAACACTGCTGGAACCATGTTCTTTCGACAAACAAAATACATGACCAACAATAAAAAAAATAATCGAGGTGTTTCCCCGGACCAGATGAACCTAGACTTAAACTTGACTCAAATACTGAGGTTAGGTCCTCAAGGTTCATGTCCAGTGTCCAAAACCCAAAAAAGCAACAYTAAACTGAAGACTTCCTCTGTAACAATAAGAAACACATGTGAAGATAGAATTTACTGCTGCTGGAGSTTCTGAAGCATCTCAGTCATACAGCAGAATTCATGGTAGACATGGACCACCTTTATGTTCCACAGTACAAAACTAATAAACCAGGAATTTAAAACCTCTCAACATTTCTATGATACTGTTCCTACAGACTGCCATTCTTGTGATTTGTCAAAACAAGACACACACACACACACACCCGTGTACTTGCAAACTTAGGACTCTGTATTGACTTCTACTTATTTTTGTAATTGCATTTATGCCTAATCTAGACATTTTCTCTAACCTTAACCAAAACTTAACTCACACCATACCTCTAAACTAACTAGTAGAGCACAGTAGGGTTACATAAAAAGTTAAGACTGTGAAAACGACCTCACTTTTTTTTTGTTATGCTGAAGAGGGTATAAAATTATATACGTGCATGCGTATATATACAGTATAAGAATGTGTGTATGTGTACACATATAAATGTGTATATATTTTATTATTCTTTTTTGTTAAATAGGGGCAGATGTTATAAGATTTTTTCTTCTTCTGCTTCCTTTCATTTTGAGATTTGTGTTTCTTTTTTTTGCTGTATTGAGATTTTTGTTTTTAACCGAAATGAATAAACTATTAAAACAACAAAGAAAATGAACAGCTCATCATTTCAACCAGTGAAATAAACAGCCTACAATAGGCTGCAGATGTACATGTACTTGTTGGACCTGTGGTGACCTGTACTGGGTACATCCAGCCTCTCAGCCACCACACATTTATCATCTGCTCACAACCCTGAGTCGAATGGAACAAACGTGTTTACAGCCATCTCACAGTCGCAGCAGGAATAAAATTTGTGCTCTAAGATCTGACTGTCATCGGATTCAGGGAAGTTGGTATTTGAGAGGTGCAGGAGTCAACTGCTCAAGGCCAGGACTGATGACGTCACATCCTGCGTAACTTGGCAACGACAGCATCAACTTCACTTATCGGYTGCTGCCAAATAAGGCTGAGAAATGTCAGGCAAATGATCCCACATTGTTCAACACTCAGCCTCTTAAAAACACACTTTGTTTTTCTTCAAGGAGTGAGAGCAGGACAAGAGTTCATTTCCTCTGCTGGTAACAATCACAGAGAAGGTGGGCTGTATGTCTCAGGATTTAAAGAGACAAAGTTCCATCCTGATCCAACACAGCTTTGGAGACAAAGCTTCCCATGGATTCTGAAGAGTGACAGTCAGGATGAAAACTGAAGCAGGGTGCTGCATACACATGAGGAGTGTTGGTCCAGTGCATCTTCATACGAGACAATTGGGGTGGCTGTGGCTGAGTGGTTATGGGTTATGTCCTGCAATGAGAGAGTTGGGGGATCCATCCCAACACTATTCAGTTACGTGTTGAAGTGTCCCTGGGCAAGACACTGAACAGCCACTGCCTCTGATGTGTGTCCCATCAGTGTATGAATGTGATTTAAAGCACTGACTAGTCTCTATAAAATGATCTGTCTGGGTGGGCCCTGCAGAGAGACAAAGTAGAGTGCTGTAAGAATAGATAAATGAGGGCAAAGATTGTAGTATAAAGTGCTTTGAGTATCCTGGTTGAAGAGAAAGGTGCTATATAAGTACAATCCATTTACCATTTACTAGAACCTATGCTATTTAACAGATGACTGTACAAACTTTTTTTTGTGGGAGAAGAAGTCAAAAAGAAGCTGAATTTGTTTTGTCAAAGTCCAGATAAACTGAGTCAACCAGCAGCTTGGTGGTGCTGTTGTTGCTTCCTGTCACTCAAACCCACATCAGCAGCGAGGTGAGCGTTGCATTATGGGTGATACAGTCAACAGTAGCAGTTTGACTCGACTCACAATAACACAGCTGTCATTATCAGTGGACAGATATGTACTAGAGAAATTAATAAATAGGCCTAAGGATGAGGTTATTAGCAGCTCAGCTCAAAGCAAACTGGACTAAACTGCAGTAATGCTGTAAACTTTTCAGCATTTCCTCTGAATACCAGCCAGGCAGAAAGGCTAATAGACTAATGAAGGACACCTCCGACTCACATCTGTCAGGTTTTGTTTAAAAGGATCTGTACATGCTGGTCATTTAAGGAGACAAGTGACCCTGCAGCCCTCAGGGACTTTTCCCCTATGACCTAAATTAGGTCTCTGTTTAACAGTCTAACACTGTTTATGTGTGTGTGGCTTTTAGCAGTGTTATGAAGCATATTTATGTAATAAAAAAAATGCTCCTAAGATGTTTGTACCAACAGTGATGTCAACTACTGTTCGTGGAAAACTGTTTACTGACTGTTAAGAATTTTAAAGTGACTTTAACTAATTAAAATGTGTCTATCAATTAAAAATGTTACAATTAAAATAAGAGTGCTGTTAAAGTAGATTGTGACTATGGAACTCTCCAGAACATCCGATGAAACACCACTAAATCCATTATTAGAAAACAGCAAGGTGATGTCATGACAGCCAAGACGGGCTCATCCACCAAAACTCACAAACTGAACAGAAAGGGCAATAATATATGAAAAAACAAAAGACCAGAGTTAAAGCTGATGGAGCTCCAGCTCTTCAGAGATGGGGGGGTTCCGTCTACAGGACCACTAAATGCTGCAAAGAACTGGACTTTATGGAAGAGTGATAGAAATATCTGAAAGAAGGTGCTGCAGTCAGATGAGACCAAACTCAAACTTTGAGTTCACCAAAGACAACACCATGTTGAAAGCAAACCCAACAGTTCTCTTCAAGTTGAGAACAAAATCCACACAGTGAAGCATGGTAGTGGAAGCATCATACTGTTGGGGATGTTCCTCATCATCAGGGACCGGAAAACAAAGACACATAGAGCAAAATACAGAGAAATTCTTCAGAGCTTTCCATAGACTGGAACACAGGTCCTCCTTCCAGCAAAATGAGCCAAAACACCTGGCTGAAGCAGGATTCCACTGGTCTTAAGAGAATTAGGTAAAGGTTCTGGGGTCAGATTTATAAATGATTGTGTGGAAACCATACTACGAGTGTTCGTCATTGTAAAAATGAACGGGAGAAAAAAAACTTGTTAAAGCCATCTAGGGATTAAACTGATGGCTTTCACCCAATAAAGAGAACCATCTAGTCCTCTAGTCTTCTAACAAAAGGTGTGTCTACGTTTGATTTTGATTTTCTTCTAAAATCACAGAGTTCTCCGAGTCAGCTTCTGGTGATWGTAGTTAATCATAAATATTTTCTGAATTTAACCAGGTGTTTAAATGCCTTTAAATTACACAATAATTTTAGTGGAGAAACTTGTCAGTTTGATTAAAAAAACAGTAAAAGTAATTTTTTTTCTGTGCAGAAAACTTCCTCTGCTACAGTTTTTTTTTCAAATAAATATGTCAAAGCTCCTCAGTTGAAAACACTAAAATGATAGAAACAATGGGCCTCATGCAAGAACCGTTCGTACGCACAGAATTGTTCTTAAGTTGTGCGTACGAGTGATTTAGGAGAAT